TGGTAATCTTAATGCAATTAATTTTATTGTAATACAGAGTTTATTTTGGAAATAACTTTCTCAATAGAAATCAATATAATTTACGAACCAACGCTAAATTTCAGATCCCATGCTGGTCCTACACCTGATGGTTAGGGTGCTGGATTCGCGAATCCAGCGCAAACTGTGGGTTATGGGATCGAAACCCGTTCTCGAAAATGCTCGCTCTTTCAGTCTTGAAAGTGTTATAATGTGACGGTCAATTCCAGTTTTCGTTGATAAGAAGGTTACCCAAGAGTTGGAGGTGGGTGGTATTAACTTACCTCTCATCTATCGCTTCAAAATTAGGAACAGGCTGCGCAGATAGCCCTCGAGTAGCTTTGCGCAAAATTCAACAACACCGACAAAGAAACAATCAGATCGCATGCTACCCTTGGAACTACTTTCCCCATTGCTGAAAAGTTTTGACTGCTAAACATTTAAATTACTTATATATATGTGTGTTAATATCTGAAATATTTTTATGTTTAAGCCAATACCTTAGTTTAATGAAATGTCTTTGAAAATTTTAAATCGATCTAGAAATATGTCAAAATATAATTATGATTTATGTGATCGACACAGTTGTCTATAAAACAAGATTTACCCGAAAATGTTTAATTTCTTGCTTTGGAAGATGAAACGAATAAAACCAATACTTTCCATTGAAAATAAAATTAAATATGCTATTTTTAGCTTTAATTGATGCTTAGAAGAAATCTTACAACGACTATCTAATTTAGACCATCATTATAATAACTGTTTATTAAAATTTTCTCGAAGTTCGACTTTATAATTAATCAAAATCATTCATGATTGATATTTTCACTTATGAACCTTCAGTGGTTTTTGAATTGAAAAAGTTACCGGTGATAATAAGACCTTATTAGAAATGACATGATTTGAATTTCTAATGTATACGACAGCATACTTTTTTAATAACCTGTTAGCATCTGAAAAGAGCCACTCTTTCACTGGTAGACGTTGATGTTCGTTGGTTGGTTTCTGGCTGACAGTGGCTATCTGGTAGACGTTGATGTGGCTCTTATTCAAACGTATTTTATTACTAAAGCAATAAATCTTAGTAACTAATTATTAGGCAGTAGGAAACCACTTAAACGTAGTTTTTGATTGGTCAGAACTCACTTAAACATAGATTTTGATTGGTCAGAAACCACTTAAACGTAGTTTTTGATTGGTCGGATCAAATGCCAGATAAAATGAAGTATTTGAAAGGTGGGTTATTTGGTTTTTTATCCTCCTATTTGAATGAACCAACATATTCTACATGTTTGTGTTAAATATTCCCATTTTAATTTTTCTCAAAGGCAAATAATGTTTAATTTTTTTCAATAAAAATACTAAAAATCTCAATATTAATTACCATTGAGGCGTGCAAAAACGTTTTTACAATTTGTGTCACTAAATACATTAATTGTCACACGGAAAATAATATTTTGAAAGAGTATCCCATGTTCTATAGCTTTAAAGATGGTTTCTGTTTGGGTCCTTGATAACCATCTCGATGATCATGAACAAGATTATATTTGAAGAGATGCTAAGGGACAAATATGTCCACGATCGAGCCATATAATATAATATCCTCTCTTATCTATGCCCTCGATGCCACAGGGCTTATAAGCCTGAAATTCGGGATTCGATCACCGTGGACACAGCACATTTAGCTCACTGTATAGTTATGTGTTTAAGCTACAAATAAACAAATATTTTATTTTGCTATGAAACTAATTGGGATTAATTACTTTGAAGTGGGTATTCTCATGCATACATCCAATTTTCTTATATTATTTTATTTTTAGTGACTTTTCACGGATATATTACTTTGAAGTGGGTATTCTCGTGCATACGTCCTCTTTTCTTATATTATTTTATTTTTAGTGACTTTTCACGGATATATTACTTTGAAGTGAGTATTCTCGTG